CAAGTAATCTATATCTCCTTATGTTTATTCGCAAGGCGAGCCTATTGCAGCTTGGCTTACTATTGTCGATATCGCCGTATTAATCTCAAGTACACAGACCAGTTATTTTGATACCGATATGAAATACTCGGCGTCTCGATGGGGTCTGAACGCACGACAGCATGGGTAAGCCTTAGTACAGCCAACGCTCTAGCCAACTGAGCTAAGAGGCTCCATCGGACGACGATGTAATTGTTGTATCTGCCAAAATACCTATGAATTACGTGAAACTCGTAGCCATCAGGTGGATTCTAGATGTTTTACTTAGGAAATCATGCCTAGACATTTAGCTTACTGTATCAGATTAGGTGGATTCCAAACGTTGTTGTAGATCGAACGGGTAAACTTGATTTAGATGTGATTAAACTCGCGTCGTGAGATGGGGCCTCGTATCTCAGGTGGCTAGACCGTTGGATGTACGTAAGCCTCTCTTTGCTGTTGTGGGTTCGAATCCCACCAATTAGGCTTAGGAGCAACTTCGGAGACTGAACCCACTTTGCTAAAAATTTTGAACATATCATTTCAAAATAAAGCGAATATCCTCTCTCCTCTCTCTCAATTTCTCAGAAGTAAAGCATTCTTGGCAGTGTCATTTTTATTTGAGGGGAATCATTCGATCGGTGAAGTGAAAATAATGTTCACTTGAGTTTCGCGATACCTTTCTGATCAAGGACAGCAAGTTATTGAATTTGTGGACGTACAGCGGTTGAAATTTTTATAAGCTGCAATTCCTATACTATCATGCGCATGTTTATAATGATAACGTCCGCATTCACTGTAGCTTTTCGTGATTCGTTTGACGATTTCCTGAGTAGATATGTTTAAATTGTGACTGTCCGCGATCTAGCTGTTTTTTTTTTAAATAGTAACATAATCCTTGGTTCGAAAAACTGACTTTGGCGATTCTATGACTTTGGAAACTGAAATTTTTGTTAGAAACACAGTCTGCCTGCAGACTGAAGTCGAAACAATGTTGAAATTTGCTGATTGCCCCTTTGCAATTAATGCCTAACAGACTCCGATCAGATCAGATTGGTAAAGTTGAAATATCCGGGTTGATTATTTGAGGAAGAAGAAGATGGGCTCACCGAAACAGGTTTATTAAAATGCTGACATTTCGAGGAACTTGGTCGGCTTTCTTTTTTCAAAGCGTACAATGCACTTAATCGACCAGAAATCCCAAGTTGCGTCTCACATTGGAGGCCGACCAACGTGGCTGGACTTCGTGTAACTATGTTCGGTGAAACACTCCTGTAGATTGTCGAATCCGCACTAATTTAAACTTGGAATGGCGTGTTTCGTTGTTAATCACAACTCCATCGTATTTGTTTCACTTTGAATGTAAAAAGGCTTCTGACCGCAAATTGCCGATATTTGCAATGACTGATTAATAACGCCTTCTTCTTCGGAGGTTATCATGTAGGTATACAGAAGACTGCCGTTTCTCTTAGGAGCAACTTCGGAGAACGAACCCATTTAATTTTCAGAAGTGGAGCTTCCTTAGCAGTGTTAGTCTACTGTTAGGAAAATCACTCGATCACTTAGGCGAACGTTATGTTCACTAGAGTTTTCAAATACATTTTCGAACTAGGGCAGCAACAAATTGAAGTTGTGAGCGAACAGAGGGTGAAATATGCATGGGCTGAAATTCCTCTAATACGGCACGCATATTCTTAATAATAATGTCTGTACTTCTGCAAATATTCGCACTCCGTCTGATGACCTGTCGAGTAGATATGTCCAGACTGTGACTGACGGCGATCTACCCGTGTTTTAAGTAATAACACAGCCCTTCGTTTTTATAACCGAGCCTGGCATTTTCGACAGCGGGAACTGACATTTTTGATGGAAATGTGGATATCTGTCGAGGACAAAGTCTACGCATGTCTGAAAGTTGGACCCAATGTTGGCATTCCCTGAATGCACGTTTCCAGTTAACGCCAAACAAACCCGATCTAGCCCGCGTGTTGGTCCAGCGCATCTAATGCCTGACCGATCTCAGGGACACTGACATTGTTCGGTGACGCACACACGCAACGACTGCGCACGCCACTGACTACCTGCTGCCAAGGTCATCTAGGGGCGCTTCTGCTCGCATTCAGCATTCGGCCATCTGGCGAAATCTGCCAGCTGCGTCATCCATCGAGCACGATCGATTTTCTCTCGGCAGGCTCGCAGGCCGCCTCCACTGTCCAGGGGCCAGCAACTCGAGATGCGCCCCTGATGACTGACTGTCCACCCGGTAAACAAGAAGAATCAGAGCCTTCCCACATAGCTCGTGCCGATTCAGTTAGTCGTATCTCTGGTTGCAACCAAATCACTAACCAGGGTTAGGTTTGAACATGCGTTTTCTTAAATACCCTTGATATTATTCATGTGAAATCTTTGCTAACCATATATCCCGAGACAGCCCAACCTCTTTATCTTTTTCAGAGGAAGAAACTGATCAGTTGATGCTACGGAGGCAGACAGCGTACCTGCCTCCAGCATCTTCCGTCGACCGACTACCAAGGAGGGTAACTTTTCATGAGATATTGGGTCAAAGTCACTTATGCCGAATTCCCTCAATAGCGAAGGCGGAAAGTAACTCACACAACAGTCTATCGCATTTCGTGGGGGTGGGCTACATTTGCTTTTAGGAGTGGGACACTATAAGGACTTGGTGACATCTGTCCTACTTCATAGTGCCAGGTCCGCCATCCACACTCTAACTGTTCCTGTAGCCTGTCGCCTCAGTAAGTGGTACGTGTGCCATTCATATTAACACACAAGCTCCCCGATCTGCGATCTTACTAGCGTTGCTCTCTACGTCAGCAAATGGTCATCTCCCTGCTAAACTTACCTCGAACACATAATTAATTTCCTGCAAAGATAAGCTAGGGATTGTTTTATCACTCCACGTGTTGGCCACTTTACACCCTTTCGCAGTTTTTTTAAGGTAAAAATGATAGGTCATATTTATTAGCCATGGGGACACCTGGCGGTGAGAACATCTCCACTACGTTTAATTCTTCTCTAGTATCATATCCGCTGGCGACAATTATTGCTCCCAAAGCCATGCATTACTCCCGAAAATGAGCATCTGCCTCGTAAAAAATAACTGGTTCATACATTTCATTCATTGCAGAGGTAAACACATCGTTAACAATCGGTCGCCGTAGGTGTTGGGCACTGCACACCCATTCTTCGTTTTGAAAAAAAAACGAGGAAACAGCTTACACTGCAAGTCGTTTATTTCTTAACATACGAGTCATAGAAGGAACATCAAGAAATGCAGAAGTTTACAGGCGAATGCCTCCAGCTCTAGCGATGTTTGCGAGCGTTTTGAGTGGTTTCTTCGACGACCAGATCTAAGATGTCAAGTCGCTGCTGACCTCAGCTGATCCACGCGGTGTTGTGAAAGTCTCCACCGTGTTGCCTGATCCATACCGGCAGCCTGCAAATTTTAAATAATTCCAGTGAATTTCTTTTTTCATAAATATTAAAATATCATCTAGGGGCACCCATGTCCGCATTCGGTCACATGGCGGAATCTATTTCCACGGACTGAGAGCGAATCTGCTTTGGTCGAACATCAATCACAAAGCAGGTGTCACACACTAGAAGCCTCGCAACAGACTAGGTGAACCGCTTAGCATTACAAACTACTGATGCGACACGGAGGGCAAAAGTTGGATAGCGTTTTGCATGTGCAAATTGCAACTCGCGCGTTTGCGTGTTTATTAAGAGGGCAGGAGGATGACGCACATACAAACTGATCTTCACTGCAGTCGCAGAGGGACTGGCGGATGCACGGACGGCGATCGATACCGCGCCATCCTCTTCCCGCTTACTTGACGCCCCCTGACACACACAAAAAACACACAACCACACACGCGATAGTTCGACCATCGATTTCGATGAGGTCCACCGTGTGCCCCACATCTGCAGCAACAGTGGGAGCAGGGACGGTGAATTACACAAGGGTTCAGAGTGCCAGTAGACTTGCGTTGCATCTACCTACACTCTCTCCTCCTCCCCCGACTGAGCCCGGTGTCAAGACCAAGTCAAGAAGACCGGAGACGGGGGAGGCCGCAGATGGATGGCTTGGACGTATCCTCACTTTGACGCCCCACTCAGCACCTCCTGGTCAACATTAAAAATAACCAGGAGCTTGACCAAAACAACAGAGATTGGAGGCTGACACGGCCGACGCTGCCGCACCTAGGCGGGCTTCCAACGCCTGGCCGGATCCCACACTGTGGTGGGAGTGCCTTAGAGGATACA